GGGGAGGGAAGGAGAGAGGGAGAAAGAGAGGGGAAGAAGAGGGAGGGAAGGGGGAGGAAAAGATGGAAGGATGAAGGGAGGGAGGGAGACAGGAGGAAAGAGGTGTGTGGGAAGGAGGAAGGAAGGGATAGGAAGCTATGGAGAAGAGGGAGGGAAAGGGAGGAAAGAATGAGGGGGGGAGTGAGGGTGAGGAGGGAAGAGATTAGGGGAAAGATGGTGAAGTGGGAGGGAGAAGGAGGGAGGGATGGGGATAGAGAGAGAAAAAAAGAAGCGAGAGAGAGAGAGAGAGAGGAAGACATATCCAATGAATAGACTAATAAGTCGCATCAATTCCCAAATTCTTTCCTCGTGCAAAACAGAAAACACACTTGTTTTCCCTGTACATACGGCAAAATAAACAACCGCATTTCTCAGTTTTTTTTTTTTTTTTTTTTTTTTTTTTTTTTTTTGAAAACAAGGGGAATCCCCTATTTCGCCTCGTCCTTCACTAAGCCTCAAAACTCCCATAAATCTGAATCGACGGCGACGCTGAAGAGACTCAACACCACCAACAACACGGCCCTTCCTCCCGGCCTTTGTCTTGAAGGGGCGATAAGACGACGCGATATTAAGGCAAGATTAATCAAGGAGGGAGGAGGAGGGGGGGGGGATTATGCATATAAAATATAATCTCATCGAAGAAGAGGAGGAAGAGGCAGAGATATTGAAAATTTTGGGTTCGGGGAAAAGAGAAAATGTTTATTTTGTTTTTATAATCCATTTAATTTTTGTCTGTCAGTTTGTCTGTCTGTCTGCCTAATGGACTTATAGTTGTGTATGTGAAATGTGAACCCACGCCAGGACTTACTAAGGTAGGGGTGAGGGTAACGTAAGTCACGACCTCCTTTTGAGACGTAAGCTTTTGTCTCACAAACTTGTCAAAGTCTCTCCCTCTCTCTCTCTCTCTCTCTCTCTCTCTCTCTCTCTCTCTCTCTCTCTCTCTCTCTTCTCTCTCTCTCTCTCTCTCTCTCGAACGTGTTTCCCTCCACCTCGAGTACCGCCAGAAATTTCCCTTTTCCCGCAAGACGAAATATTCGAGCGAGTCGAACTCTCCGGAACAAAAGACGCCTAAGTTGCTCATCCCATCAAACTTTCGCCGTTGCTGCTCCTTCTCGAAAAATCTGAGAGGGAGAAAATTTCGATTTTGAGAATTTATCGTCGACGCTTTCGTTCCTTCTATGGACACACACACATATGCATATTATGTGTGTGTGCGTGCATATATACATACATATAAACATGGGTACATGTTTTTTTCCTAATAACATAGTGCTGAATATTCTGTCTGTGATCTAATTACATAGGACCTGAACATTTGGAGCATTTATACACACGATCACTCAGGCTTCAACGAAAACAATATTTGAGGGCATGCAAACTCTTTGCTTGCCGAAGCAATTGTTACCAAATCACGACTGCAACATTGCGTCGTTCCTGAATTAATATGAATATATGTCCCCATGAACATTTTCGTTAATTCCGACCAGGAGAAATTAGTTTGTGGATAAGGTTATGCATACTTTATATTGCATTGTATGTGTGAGTATATATATATATATTATATATATATATATATATATATATATATATATATATATATAATATATATATATATATATATATATATATATATATATATATATATATATATATATATATATATATATATATATTACACATATATGTATGTATGCATTATATTTTTTTCTTTCTTCCTTTATTTCTTTTTTTTTTTTCCTTTTCCCTTTAAAGGGGTGGTCACACTATTATTCTACCCTTTACAGAGCGGGATACTTCCCCAGCTGTGAAGGGACGCGAGATGAAAATCCCTTCCCAGCGACACCGCCGTGTTGTTCTTTCGCCCCAGCTGGAGAGGAGGGAAAGATGGTCCAAAGCAAAAACTATAGTATTATTCGAAAGCTTGTTACTTATTTTTCTATACGGCGATTATTTTATCATGTTAGGTAAATTTGTACTGTAGAAATAAGCAAAATATATTACAACTAACGATGATGCCTCACTAGAACTTTTAAGAGTATCTAGACAAACGTTCATTTGATCAAGGACACACACCTACTCCGACAGCTGAAGACACGGAGCTCCCTTCAGACACTTTTTACACCCTGCTGGACAGAGTAAGAGCCCGAGAACAATTATGGAATACCTTCCACAAATATAATGATAGCAGAAAGCTAGAAATAACTACAATGGATGAAATCAACAAGAAACATTGTTGTGTTCGGAGTACAATTGTACGGCTGGCAAGGCTGTGGCGCATTCGACAATTGCTAATATTTTACACAATTTCAATTATAGTATTTGATTGCTCCCAACTTACCAGTCCATAATTACGTCTCTCGTACATTATTGATTACACTAATAGCGGTTTTCACTAATAACGGTTTATGCTTTTGAACATTGGCGGATTTTCCATTTCAGTTGAAATGTGGAGTATCGGGGAACCTGGCACGGTTGTATTTAATAGAAAAGAAACTGAAAGAGAGAGATAAGATAGAGAAAGGTGGAGGTAGATAAAAGATAGAAAGACCTTTCTGTCTGTCTATCTTCTATCTGCCTCCACCTCTCTCTATTAGAGAGAAAAATAAAGACAGATAGAAGATATAGAGACAGAAAGAGAGAAAGATGGAGACAGGTTAGAAGATAGATATACAGAGAGAGAGAGAGAAAGAGAGAAGTGAGACAAGTAGACGATAGACAGAAAGAGAGAGAAGAAAGGAAGACAGGAAGAAATTTCATCTTAATCAACTTCAAACAAAGAAAAGAAATAAAACATTTACCTTCGTAAATTATAATGATAATCGTAATAATAATGACAGTATTAATGATGATTACCGTAACAATATGATGAAAATGAGAATGCTCTCTCTCTCTCTCTCTCTCTCTCTCTCTCTCTCTCTCTCTCTCTCTCTCTCGTCTCTCTCTCTCTCTCTCTCTCTCTCTCTCTCCTCTCTCTCTCTCTCTCTCTCTCTCTCTCTCTCTCTCTCTCTCTCTCTCTCTCTCTTTCTTTCTCCTCTCTCTCTCTTCTCTCTCTCTCTCTCTCTCTCTCTCTCTCTCTCTCTCTCTCTCTCTCTCTATATATATATATATATATATATATATATATATATATATATATATATACATAATACATACATATATATATATATATATATATATATATATATATATATATATATATATATATATATATACATACATATATATGAATATGTGTAAAAATTATATATATGTATATATATACATACATTTACAGAGAGAAAGAAGAACCTGAAATGAATGCAGGGCCACCATGACACAAGCAGGGATGTGCGTGTACAAAAAAATATATAAATGTGTGTGTATATATATATGTATACACACACACAACACACACACACAGACATATATATATATATATATATTATATATAATATATATATATATATATACATATACATACATACATACATATATATATATATATATATATATATATATATATATATATATATATATATATATATATATTATAATATATATATGCATATACACATGGCTTAAGTATTTTGTTCTCTTCATTCTTCTTAGCATTGTTCCTAGTTGCTCTCTTACGTTTCTTTCCTCTTCCTTTCCATTTCTTTTCCGTTTCCTTTCGTATTCCTTTCCATTTCCTTTCGTTTTCCTTTCTGTTTCTGGGTCGCCTGCCAACCCTCCTTCCGCGCCACAGGAAGCGACGCCGCGTCACCCGAGGCAGCAGAGGCGGGGATGCAGGCCTGCTTCTCTGGGGGGGAAGCCGGACTACACGCTTCAGCAGGAAAGATTAGACGATAACAAGGTTTATATAAGTACTTTTACAGACATTGGCTGATAACTGCTTAATCTGTGCATGGTGTTCGGGTTCCGAATCCCTACTTACTGATAGATTAATTTCTCTTTCATCTCACGATATTTTGCCTTGGCATAAACAACAGGAAACTAACACCAACATGTACGTAACGTGTAAAGCAATATCTAAATAAACCAACACAATCTAAAAGGATAAAGTAAATGAGCAAACCGCACTGATATCATACTAAATGGATAGGTCGAATACACCAGGAAGTACATGGGTGTATTCGAGAGCGTGTGTCGAATGCAAGCCGCGTTTGGGAAACCGACGCCAAGGTCTAGTCAGGCAGACGGACCGCGCACAGGTAGGCAGCGGAAGGGGACAGGTAATGAGAGCATCAGCACGATTACATGCGGATTATGATTAGAACAAAGATGCAAAGATAGTATATTGATGATAGAAATATTAATCACAATAAGAAGAAAGGAAGGTTATTTTGTAATGAACCGTGTAGATAATGAACCGTATAATTAATGAACCGTATTCATTGTGGCAAATGTAGAAAAGTTATGAATAAGAAAGAATGTCTTCACAATATAAGAGATTAAACCGGTTTTCGATGATGATATTACTGAAGTAGCCGCAGTGATGAGGTTTCCGTTATATATACGTAAACGGAAGGAGAAGTAACGTAGAATAAAACGTGGAAAAACACACATGACAAATAACCAGAAATATTTTGTTATTTCCGCTCGCCTGTTCTTCAAACTGCGACGATCCGGTGCTATCTTGATCTACAGCCTTGGCTATATTAGCTGTTTATTATTAGTCCTCACTGAAAATGCTTCCTTCTCCCTCTTTCTCTTTAGAAAATAATAATAATATCTATAGAGAAAAGAAAAGAATCAACATTTATTCACACGTGTCCACCTAAAATACCTGCGTTCGAAAGTGTGCACGGCCTTCTTATCTTGCTGCGTTTGAAATGGAGTCGCCGCCCATTTTCCTCCCAGACAGTTCCCCGCCGCTCCAGCGAACAGACACGCCGCCAGCTACTCCTAAAGGAAACATAAGAACTCGGAGGAGCGGCCGTTATTTCAGTTATAAAGCCTAGTGTGGATTTTAGCGTTTT